CCGGCGCCAGCGTTAAGACCGGCACCAGCGTTGAGACCCGCACCAGCGTTGAGTCCGGCACCAGCATTGAGTCCGGCGTTGGTCTTGAGACCCGTATTAGCGTTTAGGCCAGCGTTCGCGTTGAGGCCCGCACCGACGTTCAATCCAGCGTTTGCGTTGGCGTAAGCATTGCCGTTTCCACTCGCGCCCGCAGCGCCGTAGCCACCAGCTCCAGCATTGAGCCCAGCACCTGCCTTGAGGCCACCAAGGGCCTTGAGAATAGACAGCCCGCCGTATCCACTCGTCCCGGCGGACGCGCCTCCGTAAGCATTTGTACCGGCACCAGCACCAGCACCGCCGTAGCCGCCGTATGTGCCATGGCTCTTCGGCAACAGCCAGCCAAATGTCTCCGCCGCCTCCGTCGATGCGTCCACTGCGCTACCAGAAAACGCCGCAGCCGCCACACACAGCGCGCAGATAGTCTTGCTGAGCATCATCTTGGTCGAGTTTGGGGTAGCTTGCTTGAGCTGGGGTAACTTGGTCAGGACTGACACAATTGAAGAATGAGCGCACAACCAGCCCAGCGCGAACAGCTCCACTGGAATCAAACGCGCGGACTAGATGGCTGGTAGATTGAACAGCAGAATCTGTCCTGCCCGCAAGACGAGCGGTCAGAAGCAGAGGCAACAGCAATAACCGTCCCTATATGTCACATGACCACTCGGCAGTTGTTGCAGTCGGTATACATGTATATGTATGTACTTCACCGGCTCCAGAGCTAAACCGTCTGTGAGGCCGGTATAAGATGCCGAATACGCGTAAACAAGCAGGCAGAGAGGCATGGCTGCCAAATGGCGAGACTGGATGGCAGCATACTGGGCGATGGTGGTTAGCTGAACGGCTCTGTCTAGCACGCCATTCACGGTGAAGCTGACGAGGCTATATGGACATCCCCGATAATGTGCAAGACAACGCCACTAGCAGGGTTCGTGGGTTATCAGAAGATCGGTTCAAGCGGGTAGCATTCATACCGCTTGACGTGCAGTATCTGGAGGGACGAATCGTATGGTGAGGCGAGAATGCGGTCACTCGAGGCAACAGGCATTGTAAAGGCGTGCATGATTTCCAGACGTCTAGAGATTGCAATTAGATATTGCTCTCTAACTGCAAAAATAGGTATTGTACGAGTGTGTCATGGCCAACAGCCCGACGATAATACTGTCGACAGTAGTCGGGTCCTTTCTTGATCTCCTCAAACTGAAAATGACGTGTCTATTTGTATTTCTATTTCTAAACACCTCAACTTAAATGGGAATGGAAAAAATATTTCAAAGAGATCTGATTGGCCCGGATGGCATTCAGACGAAAATAAGCCATTAACATTTTAATGGGTTTTTTCGTCTGAATGCCATCCAAGCATATTTTATTACGACCCAAAATTTGACTATTTTCAGTTGGGTTCCGATTAACCCAAATAAACCATTGGGCGGGATGGCATTCATTCGAAAAAAACCATTAAAATGTTAATGGGTTTTTTTTTCGTCTGAATGCCATCCAACGGCTAACCCAAGAGCTGAATTGATCATGCATTTCAGTTCTTTCACACACGAGCACTTGGCTAGCATGTTTTTAATAGTGCAATAAATCTTACTAAGAGCTACCGGTTAGCTCACTTTGCCGGGTAATATAGTATCTTAGCCAGGCAGTAGCGAGCGTTTCACAAGAGCCCTCACAAGCATCGATTACATCTTGGACTTTAACTAATTTATGTTATTGACGCAGCTATCTGAATATATGGCAACCTAGCACGTTTTCACTCATCAGGTCAACACTGGTGCCTCAGTAATTTCTTGAAGTCCGTCCATCTATCGGGTGCATTTACGCGATTACTGCTGCTTGTAGTAACGGATTTACCAAACAGTACTCGGTTTTGTATTCCTCATAAGCCCTAAAATATGAGCGATTTTGCCAAGGGGACGTTTAAATTGGTAAGGGCTGGTATTTGAAAGACCTTGTCAAGTTTTCTACCTTGCAAGCGAAGATATGCTTGCCTCTAGACTTTTCTGTAAGCCTCCAACTGACAGAGATCCTCTTCCTTTCACCTCCTGAGGATAGTCATCGTAGACACTAAAGCTCGCACCGTCAAAAAGCGTTATCGCACTCGACCTCAACATCAGGCGCCTTGTTATTCTCATATCCTCGTCTTCGCCTCTGTCTCCTACCCATGTTGAAAATGTCGACCGTGCACGTCATGACGCGATTTAAACTAATCCGTTGGAAGAGGAAAGACAATATCCCTCCAGAGCTCAGAAAGACAAGTATATAACTGCGAACTTTAATTGATGCGGGCTTTTAATACAAGCAGGACTTGCATTTGGAGATATATGTAATTCATCTTCCAAGAAACTAAACTAAAACGCACCTGCTCATTAGCTCGAAAATCACAAGTCTTGTGAACGCGAACGCACGCTCTCATGAATATCCATGTTAGTGTTTGACTACTACGACTGAAGATCGTTCTTAGCGTTGTGTCTGTTGACTAAGCTACGAACAATGCTTAGTTCTCGAGCACCACGCGGTAGCGAACACGACCTTCACGAACCATATCCAGACCCTCATTCACCTTCGACATCGGCAACTTCTGGATAATTGGGCGCACATTCTTCTTGGATGCCAACTCAAGCATGTCCTTGATGTCTTGAATGCTGCCAATGCAGCTACCACGGACACGGACTGCACGCGGCACGATGAAGAACGGACTGAACTTCACGTCGTCGTCCGGTAGCCCAACCATGATGAAGGTGCCGCGCTTGCGCACCAGGCTCAGGTACAAGTTGTACGGCATGTTCTTGGCATCGGCCGTCAACACCAGATAGTCTACTGAGCTGGCAGCCTTCTTCTGGTCTTCTTCATTGCTCAAATCGTAAAACTCTTCGGCTCCAAGGGCCCGCACCTCTTGCTCCTTGTTAGCTGAGCGAGAGAAGGCAATAGGGATTGCGTCTAAAGCGCGAATGAACTGAATGGCAAGGTGACCCAGACCGCCAATACCCACGACACCGACACGGTCGCCGGCCTTCACGCCCTCCTGTTTTAGGGGCGTGAAAACTGTCGCACCAGCACACATGAGCGGTGCTGCGACGTCGGATGGAATGTGTGGTGGGTCTCGCAAAAGAACACCAATTGGGGGAGCTGGCACTCCCTAAAGCGTCTTGCCTGGTGTATTAAGCAAAACTCAAACTGTTACTGTCTTTATTGCTACGCTATCTGCCAGCTCGGGCCAACAAGTCTCACAACCAGCCATTCACTCGAAGGTTGGCAGCGGCAACCCTGCCACTGCCAATCTGGAGATTGAACTTGCAGCCCACTGCACGAGCTGTATGAGGCTATCCAGCCCTTCAACCCACTACAGTCCCCTCTCTTAAAGCCTCATTCAGCCTCGTGAACTCAGCCGCCCTCTGCGCGTCGCCGACACTCGCCGACGTCGCTCTTCTGGAATGTGTCACCTCGTCCACAATCCAAAAATCGTGAAAACGAAATATCACAGTAGAAATGTACCCGAAAATTTCGCTAATCAAAAATTTCACCAATCGAAGTGGCCCGTCATATGGAACTTCAACTTGACTTGATACTGTTGAAATGATGCAATCATATCCAAACAATATAATCCCTTGGAAATAATTCACGGTCAAAATCTAATTTTCACCACGCTTGGGCCGGGTCAGTTGAGTCCAATGTTCATTGAGCTGCGTATCCTCTGCAGCCGTAACATAGGTATCAACTAGAACACGCACATCTCGTGCCATAGCAGCAAATGGCTCCCAGGAATCCTCGATTTCCTCGAGACCACGCCAGCTAACGTAAAGTTCGTAGTCCTTTCGTTGGGTATTCCAGCGGTGCTGCTGAATTTTCTCCACATCAAGCACAATACCTTGGCTAGTCACATGTTGTAGCAATTCTTCAGTCACTTGTAGGTCACTATCGGCAAAAAACTTCAACCGTGACGCGTGCACGTCACTCGACTTGCCTGTCACTAAGTCTCTAACCACAAAATGCCTAGGGTGAGCCGCCGTCACCACGTACGGCCCCACCCAAGTAACTAGAAGCTTGTTCACATGTTTCTCATCCACTCGAGAACGCAGTACGAAATCTCCAACCGAAAAGTTCACTAAGTTTTCTCCACGTTCCTTCTTTTTGTTCAGCAAAGTTTGTTTTTCCCTCGCATTACTGACATCTCTGTGCATATTGTGAACGCTAGCACGTAGCTGCGCCAGCAAGCACTCAATTCTGTCAGAGTTGCCAGCTTCAATGAGCTCACCCTGGCCTTGCTTCCGCACGAAAGCGTGGCCAAAAGGTGACGGCGGCGGCAGTCCCGTAAATAGTTCCAGCGGTGACTTGTAGGCTAGCGAGGGTAGAGGTGTGTGGTTCAAGCTAGACTGTACTACCGAGATCAGTGACTCCCAGTCACGATGATCCAGTTTGTACTCCAAAATCATCACTCGAAAAACCTGTAGAATATCCCTGTTTAACCGTTCAATCGATCCATTTATCCACGGACAATATGCGACCGAAAATTCGTGATCACACTTCAACTTACTTCGCAAAGTGTCGATCACATCACATTTAAAATGACTGCCTTGGTCACTAATCCATAGTTGCGGCACACCGAAACGAGAATGCCACTGTAGGATAGCATCCGCGACCACAGCACTGGTCGGTGACTCACAGACTACTAATTCACAGAAATGACTAGCATCGTCCTTCAGTGCCAATAGGTACTGTTTGTTTCCAAATGATTCACCAAGAAATAAAAAATCAAAATGTAACGCTTCATTCCGCGTCTGACTGCGGTACGTTGCTCCCCACGGTCTCGGTATGATTTTGCCGCCTTTAATATGCATACACAACAGGCACTTCGCCAGGAAGCGCTCCACGTGTACGCGAAGCCGCTCAATCGAGAACACGCTGGCCAACTGGGTCATCATGGCATGGCGGCCACGGTGACCTTGAGGCCCGCAATGAGAGATGATCATCAGTCTGCGCAGCAGTGCATGCTCTTCGGTAGGTATCCATAGCAACTTGCCTTTCACTAGTAGTCCATCTTCACGTTTCGTCAGCCACGAAGGTAATTCACGCGGTGCGTGCCGCTTCTGAGCCCTCGACACTGCTTCCAGTGTTGGCCACACAAAGTTCTCGTCGTCAAGGGGTCGAAGCGTGACTTGCTCCTGCTGCTGAGCGCGGCGAGTAACCACCCGTCGAACACGAACTGGTTCTGCAGGCTGACAGGCCCACCGGCTCAACATGTCAGCCCAGACGTTAGCGGTCCCAGCGATATGGTTGATAGTGTAGCGAAATTCACTTAGCTTCAATGCCCAGCGAAGTAATTTACCACGAATGTGCTTCTTAATACTTTCCGCAGGCGCAAATACATGTATCAAGTTCCTATGATCGCAGAACATTCGAAATCCCCTTGGACGCATCAGTAAGTACGATAGCTTTTCGCAGGCCGTGACTAGAGGAAACGCCTCCTTCTCAATCACACTCCAATTCACCTGAGCTCCCGTAAATGTTCCACTTAAGCACGTCAAAAGTCGATGAGACTGCTCACTGACGTCCTTAGTAGCGTCCCAGTTCTCCGCCTCAGTCACTAAGATGCTCCAACCCTGGTCAGAGGTATCCGTGACCAGCACCATGTCTCCATCAGCACTGGGGTGGTGAAGTGTAGCCGACGTAGCCAGTAACTCTCGAACTTTGTCAAAAACAACTCGTAGTTCCGCAGTAAATACGATAGGAACGGCTGCAGCAGCTCGTTTGGACTTCTTTTTGTTCCGAAGTGCATGGTCAAGACATTCCTGGAGGGGCTTCACAGCCACTGCGTAGCCCACGATACTCTCTCGTAGCCAATTAGCAGCGCACAGAAACTGCTGCAGGTCTGCAGCCGTTTGCGGGTACGGCATTTCACGCAATGACCGTATACGCCCGGGGTCATGCGTTACTCCAGCTCCATCGATAATTTTCCCACACCACTTCACACTCTTCTGGTATAAACTTGACTTTTTCACACTCAACTTTAAACCGAAGTCGTTCACCAAAGAAAAGAGTCGCTGTAGTTTTCCCAAGTACTCGTCAATACTGCTAGCATACAGTAGGAGGTCATCGACCCAAACCAAAAGGTGTTTGTAGAGTAATTCCGTGAAACACGTCTCCATTGTCCGTTGAAAATGGATGGCAGCGTCGCTACATCCTTGTGGTACTCGTGTAGGTGTATACACTTTACTATCCGTCATGTACGAAAGGAATTCCTGACACGCTTTTGCCAAAGGAAGCTGCCAGAATCCTTTGAGAAAATCAAACAGACCGAAATGAGCCATGCCACGTACGTGCTCCGTAATGATGCGAAGAATAGGCATCACACCCGCTGCAGCTTCAGTTTCAGCATTCACCGCACGGTAGTCACTGGTCTGCCGATATTCTTCAGAGCCGGGCTTCCTCACTGGTAGTGCCGGACTGGCCCACCGACTCTGCGGGTTTTCATAAACCCACCCCATGCGCTCGAGTTCTGCATTAAAATCTCGCAGAAACTCTCGTAAGTGGGGCGGATACTGCCTCGCCTTGCACTTCTGCGGCTTAGCACCCTCCCTCAGCTTTATCAACAGCGGTGGAACCTTTGCCGGGGGGTCACCACCGAGTTTCAGCCTCCAAATGTCAAACATCAAGGCTATCTTCAACAATTCATCACGTCGCTCGCGTGGAAATCCGTTATCAATCGCCTTATCCACTAGTTCGTCAACTGCAACTTTCACCTCACCGTCACATTCCACACCGAACTCCAGGTCATCATCGCAATTAACAGGGTCCTCATCACCAGTGATATCACTTTCCACGAGCTGCTCGAGTTGACGGTCCACGTCAATTCCGAGCGTCGTCAAAACATCCTTCCCCAGGATAAGTTCTTCTTCGTCTTCATCAATTACCAAACATCTCACTGGTTTCGTAAGGCACACAGGTCCTGCCGCTGTATTTATCCGCAATTTCACGTCCACACTGTCGTGGGCTTGGATAATATGTCCTCCAGCCGTCCTTACTACCACCTTTTCCTTCAACTTCTCCAGCTTTACCGCCGGATCTTTCGTCATCAGCTCTCTGAGCTTCAGTTTACTGATGACGCTCGTATCTGCCCCTGAATCAGCGCAATAGGGCATTGAATGCACTCCGTTAAGCTCAATTAAATTAACAGGCCCAGGCAGGCACTCTTTAATGCGCTTTAACCTTCACTCCTGCGTGATCTTCTTGCGGTCGGTCTTCTCGCGGTTGCGTCGCTCGTGTTGCTGCCGCAATAGGTCGGCCTTTTCGTCGTGAGTCGCCACCGGACACTTCACAAGCCAATGATCACCCTTGCACTTAAGGCAACCACCCACGGGCTTCGTAGTTCCTGCCTTCGACTGCGCGTGTTGAACTTTGCGTCCCTGCTTCTCATGCACACCTATGTCTTGCGGCTGCAACAGATTTGACTTGGGTTCTATTGAGGGTTACCGGTTCCTGATGGTATATACCGGTTCCTGAACCTGTCCAACACGATCCCGCGATGATTATGGTACGTTGATTACGCCACTAGTGATTAGACG